GAAAGTCATTTATTTGATAACTTGTTATCTCAAATAATAAAAATATACATAAATAATAATAATAATAAAAAAAAAAAACAGACAAAAGTTCTTATACTTGGAATTAATGAAAAGAATTATATTTGTCCTCGTGTTAAAATTCATAACTGTTACAGTATGATTATAAATAATTATTACTGAAGAAAAATGTTAAAAACATGGAGGTGTACATACACAATGTTGCATTCCTTTGTAATTTTCACGGGCGATGGATCTCATCCAATCAGGGCATCAAATACGTCTCAAAGCAGCCAGTGGTTGATGGAACCTTACGGCCAACTGCAATTAAATTGTATACTATATTTTAATTTCATGTGCAAATGAATATCAACCAAACACATAAATACACGAACTAAGGATGTTCATTTCACGCAGATTAATTTAAACAATATTTTATTATGTATAATCATAATAAGGTTGGACAACAGGCATTGCCTGTATAAGTCCTCTCCATAATACAAGGTCAATGTCATACATTTACAAGTAAATATTAGTTGCATATCATTGAAAAAAATAAATATATACATGTGTATATTCAAAAAAAATTTATAAAAATAAGACAAAATAAATGGTAGAAAATTAATTATAAGTGAGCTGATGATACAATATGTTTGCAGTTAAACATATATGACTAACAAAAATAATACAGGTATAAATGTGAAAGTTAATAAGAACACATTAATTAATAGAAGATGGTTCTGTGGTTTGACAATTTAAAAAATAAAGAAGACAAACAATATCATGCAAATCTCTTTGTAGATGTAATAAATTCATGAACAAGTTCAAATACTGCAATATTTTGGTTGTAAGAAAGGTTATTGCCTCCATTCAAAATAAGTTGTAAGGATAAAGGCATTGGTAATTGCGAAGTATTAAAGTTTTGCATGCAGATTACATATATGATTACAAAACAAGAATAAAATGATGTACGGGTACTAGAAAATCTAAAATTTCTTCTAAATCCATGAAAAGGAAATTATACTTACTGAGCAGAAGTTGATAATCGAGCCTTAATCCTTGTGCATGGCGTGTAAAATACATAATATGTGAACAGCAAGAAGACGCGCACTTCTTGTCGATCAGTTGAATTCAAATTTTGACCTAGATAAGCTGCAAACAACTTCTCTGTATCCTTGCCCAGCAAGAAAATTGCATAACAAGGTTATCATGACACTGAAACTGACCAGCTAAGCTAGAACCACTCCTTATCTGATGCCTTGAAGATAAATTTGGGGAGTGGATCTAAGTAATGTAAACTGACCGGGGTTAATTGTTAGTGTGAAAACTGTTAAACCTTTTTGTAACGTGTTTATTTTAATGTTTTTATATTTTGTGATAAGAAAGATTATAGTAATATATCTAGTACAGTTTACTTTTTTTCCTTTCATATAAATGCAACAAAAGCACAATCTAATTAAAATCAGACTTCTTAGTTCCGCTCCGTATACATTCTGCGCAGAGTATACGGCGCGGATCTAAGAAGTCTAATTTTAATTAGATTACATTAATTTGGAATAAATCATCATTTTTTTAAATTCTATAGTAACATGGAATTACAGTGAAGTATTGGATAAAGATGTCATTATTTATAAAAAGCTTATCTTAAGCACAAAAAAGTTTCTCTTTTTCATTTATGCAAAAACACTGCATTTAGAATTAATTTACAAATTAACTTTTTTGAAACATGCAATTACAGTGGAGAGTTGAATATAGATGTCATACTTCATATTAACTCATATTAAATATTTTATTACAGTACTGTAAGCACAATTCTTTTGGATGAAATTTAAATAAATTAATTCATAATACATTTCATTTATTGTGAATAATCATATCATATTTTCTACCAAAATATATTCTAACATATTTTCTAACATCCTTCAGATGAGACCGTATAAACCGAGGTCCCGTGTTGCAGTAGGTGCTGGCACGAAAAAGATCCCTCACTGCTCAATGGCCGTAAGTGCCGAGTATAGGACAAAATTTGCAGCTCTCCACCGGGAAGTGGTGGCGTCTCCATATGAGTGAAAAATGCTCGAGAGGGACATTAAACAATATACAAACAAACAAACAAAACGTTGAAAATATGTTGCATCCTCGATGTTGTTTCAACGTAAAAATATTAACGAACATTCAAAGTTGAAAATATGCTGCATTTTTAAATCGCTTCAACCTTAAAATAACAGGAAATATTTAACGTTGAAAATATGTTGAATCTTCAACGTTGTATCAACGTTGAAATATGGACGAACATTCAACGTTGAAAATATGGTGCAGCTTCAACGTTGTTTCAACATTGAAATAACACCAAACATTCAACGTTGAAAATATGCTGAATCTTCAACGTTGTTTCAACGTTGAAATATTGACGAACATTCAACGTTGAAAATATGTTGCATCTTCGACGTTGTTTCAACGTTTTAAAAAGGTTAAGGATTCAACGTTGAAAATATGTTGAATCTTCAACGTTGTTTCAACGTTGAAATTTCGACAAACATTCAACGTTGAAATTATGTTGCATCTTCAACGTTGTTTCAACGTTGTAAAAAGGTTGAGGATTCAACGTTGAAACCTCAACGTTGAAACAACGTTGAACTATAGTTGCTCAACGTTGCAACCTATATTCCACCTACTTTCAACGTTGAAAGAACGTTGCGTGCCTGCTGGGTTAGTGAAATGGACAACAAAGTTTTTTTTTCATATTACAATACCCGTGATCATCTGTTTTGGTCAGGGAACCCACCTGACAATTGTATTCACCGATAGTACAACAAAGGAAGTCAGACGAAAATTGCCTTAGTTACAGTATGACTTTGAGAAACCTAGAATTCCAGTTTATTAAACGTGTTACAAATGAATTGTTTGTAATTGTGAGCATGGAAATAATAGAATAAAAATGGACAGCACGGAAAAGCATGCAAATGCATGGAAAAAAATGTCTTATGTGCCTTTTCGATCGCCTTGGGTTTTTTTTCAAGCGTAAAGTTCCTATAGTATCCGTAGTAACCCACAATGCAATTCAACTCATTCAGATTAAGCTACATTGGTACCCCATTTGCTACATGTACTCTGACGCCAAAAATATTGTCCCATTTCACATGCAAGCATGTTTGTCCAAAAAGAAATTTTAATACATGTGCAGAAAATAATGCAATGAAGAATACTTATTGACATTTGAATGAATTCAAGAGAGATTGAAATACATTTTTACATATATTATTCAGTGGTGCAAAATGAAACGCAAGATAAGTTTTCTGTTTACCATGTCTCCACGTGCTAGTCACTTCCTAGCCACATTTCCGTGAATAATTTACCTTATCTCGTTGTAGTCTCGCTAAATCTCGTCAGAGCTACTGGGAATTCGTCGGATTTTATTATTTGCAGAACACCGAAAAATAAAATGTTCCGAACACATTAGTAGGGGTGACAGTACCTGTAGGAAATAAAGCCATATTGTAGTAAAAGTACACTATCACTGTTATTTTACATTACTTAGAAAAACAAAATTGTTCAAGTTTTAGTAAAACTATACTGATATAAATATATCTGTTTTAATGACATTTAATATTATTTCCTCTCCTGCAAGTCTATGAACGAATTCAAGATATCCCAAGTCAACTTTATTTACGTTGCTCATCGGGGGTTAATTAATGCAAAGAAACAGATTCACTATTTCGTCATGGTTATCCCTTGAATTGGGTTGTCATATCTCTCACTGATACATCACCTTAGGTGGTTGTGTTTTCTTTGTTTAGGTAGCCGCTCAAATTAACATTCAAATATATGTGTGTCATTTCCGGGAAGATAACTGCACTTTACAGTAAGACGTTTAATTTCTAAACGCGTTTAGATATAAAACGTTAAGACGTAAGTGTTTAGTTGTTAAACACAATACTATACACGTTTAGATCTAAACATGTAATAGAAGTGTTTATTTCCTAAACACAATTTTTAAAGTGTATACATGTTATTGTAGGAAAGGACGTATTAAATTTAATTGGTTTGTAAAACGTTTAGATCAGAATGAGTACATACATGTACATTTACTTCAGTTCAAAAACAAACTTGTCAAACAAAACAAACAAACAAACAAAACCAAAGAAATCCGTATTTTAACTTTTCTAATAATGAGCGCCATATTCATGAATATCATGACACAACTGATTTACAGTCAACAGATTATTATTGCGGAACTAAGTTAATTTTATTTATTTATAGTGTTTTTGAGAATTCGGTTGTTTAATTTACTGAAAATGGAAACAGATATATACTGAAATAAGTGCCCGTAACAGGAAATAATCAAGCATCACATTTATTTACACGATATAAATAGGAACATAATGTGTTAAAACAGGATGTTAGTAGGGAGTTTTACAAAGTTTAATTTACCGTTCATGAATGTCACTGACGTGATCTTCTTCACTTTCCCAAAATGTCTACTAAAAAAAGTAAAAAATATTAGGACACACAGCGTATTTTCTGGGTCGGACATTAAACATTTCTGGGTAATCTTGGGATAGTACATGTACCTAAACAGCTAAAGTTGTTTGTCCTCGACTGGTCTGACCATAGTAATAACGGTTTATACACAGGGGACTTGCTCCCGGAGTGTAAAAATTATTTTAAAAAAAATCATATACCAACTACTTAAACTAGTTTTAGTAATTGTTATATGATCTTTGAATATTTTTTTTAACCTGTAAACTCCGGGAGCAAGCTTCTATGGTTTATGACAGAATCTTATTTGTAATAAAATTTTATTCATTATTTTTTTTAAAAAACAAAACAGTTACTTCAGCATTGTCCCATACAGATATAAAAAAAACAAAATCGCACTTGGTATGTACTAATGTCAGGTATAATTGCGTGTTGTTTAGAATGGATATTTTTAGCGCATGGAATTTCACAGTTTGATTCCGGGTTCTCTATCCTTGATTGGCCGTTTCGTTTTGGAGATTAGAATGAACACATGCGCAAGCGCTCATTTCCGCCTACACATGGTTTTTGTGTGATTTTCATAATTTTTTTCAACTCGTGGATGTTTCACAATACAGCTTTGAAGATTTCAAACACAGACTTTCACAGTTAAAGGGTAGATGAATATGTCATCTCAGGTATATTGTTGTTCATTTTTATCACACATAACCTGATTTCCCATGAACTGTCATTGTTCAATGTTTGTTGTTTATGAACTTGTGTCTGGGTTATAAATGACATTATATATCAATGAGTGATTTGTAAATAATTAATATCTCATTCATGTTTTTGTGTATTGGGAATTTCAGACATAGTATGAGACGAACGGTACATTTTTTTCAAAGTTATGTTTAGTTGCTTTACTTTTATTGATTTATTTTCATTCATAAAATCCTTTCAAATAAATGAATGGGATGTAAGTATAAGCACAATTAACATGCATCATATATCAATTTTTCAATGAAAAGACATTTTTTCTAGTTGCTTGTTGATTATTTGTCGGAATTTGCAGTTTTATATTGGGTGTGTCACTCAGAATTAAGGACGGTAATATGCTTACGGCCTGTTGACATTTTCATGGAAGTGGGCCACAGGAGCTTGTTTCATTAAATAAAGTATTCCATTCTTAACAACATAAGGTACTTCAGTAAATTGGGAGCAGAAAATGTATGTCATGCCTTATAGCTTTCAACTGATCTTATAATTTTTTTTAAACAAGTCTGGTACAGTATAGTAGTGGACTTCAAAGTTTTAAGTGCATATATGTTTCAACTGTTTTTGGATAAAACACATATTCCATGTTAAGGAAATTGAAAAGTAGAAAGTTTGTTTTTTGAAAAAGGCAGGCATGCTAGATATATGAAGTTCCACTAAGTGCTACTTTATCAGTCTTGTTTCACTGAAATAGAAAGTGAAATAAGATGGATTGAAAGCATAACATACATTTTTGCCCCCAGTTATCTTCAGTACCATTTATTGTTTATCTTGAAGAAATTTTTTGGTAAATGATATAAGTACCATCATGACCACGGAGAGGGTTGAAAGAGATGAAGTATAAACAAAGGTTATTATTGGATGCATGCATATAAATCATTATCATGATTATATGCCTGTTTATTTGGGGGAAAAAAATTCTTTTTCCTGGCTCACCTATGAAAGCATATAAAATTTTGGAATGTAGAAATGTATGCATGTGCATGATTTTAGTCTTGAATTTACTCAGGATATGTTTTCATTTTTGACTCGATCAGTAAAAAGTCAAATGAATGCTTGCTCATTATGTTTAAGAGCTAAAACTTTCTTTTAAAATATTAAAGAAAACAACTAGTTCAACAAATTCTGTCTTCCATCAGTATGTATATAAGAAATGAATGTAATTTTTGAAGATTCATGAGGACATGAACTACGACGCTTCACGCCGGCATATTTCATGAAGTGCGTTTGCGCTTCATAATAAATATGCCGGCGACTGAAGCGTTGTAGTTCATGTACCTCATGAATTTTCAAAAATTAATTCATTTCTTATATATTTACATTATTTTTCTGCTGAGTTGCCACAAATTACGCCATTCAACTGTCATTTTCTAAGCAAAACAGTTTGCACTATAGTTTTGACGTCAAGTACGGTATTATGACATAACAATGGAGATATTCATGCTCATCTCATGGTAGTTCATGGGAAAATGAGCAAGCTTCTAATTTGCAAAGAATCTTAAAGAAAAATACTTGGAAATGTAAATAAATGTATATAATTTATTCATTTAAATTCACATTTATGATTTTTCTTCATTTTGAATGTGAGCATACCGAAAATATTGAAAATAAATGCAAACTTGTGGAAAAATTCAAAGTTAATTGTCAAGGAGTGCAGAATGAGTCAGTGAACAGTGATGTCGATGTCTGATCATCAATTATACTTCTGTTGTTGTCTTTGAACTACATGTACAATGAAAATGAGAAAAACTTAACATTTTCACCTTTATACAATATGATTTTCTCAAAGACCTAAAATAGTTTTCATGCTGTATGGAGGGTCCTTGAGGTCAATTCATATAGGCATTGCCAACAAACAGTGTAATATTAGAATCACCTTTCATTATCTAGGGAATGATTTTTTTGTGTGTGGTCAGTGGATGAGGTGATAATGGTAACCAGCATGGAAGCTTGTGATAAAACATGCTCTCATGTCATATAAAATTCTCATACATGCCAAAAATACACATATTTATATTTACGTATGTTATGGTAGCATTCAAATCATTTCTCTGGAAATTCAGTCTTTTTTGAAATATTTTACTTTGATAAATATTGAAGACACCAATATTAAAAACATAAACTTATCAACCATTGTATAAATGTTGGAGCATCTAAACCTAAGAAGTGCACCACCACAAAGTCATCACTTGACTGCTATCAATAGAGAAATAAAAAAGTAAACAGAACAACATGCACAGTGCTTTGGGGTTTAATAATTTCTGTAAATAAAATATATATTGTATAAAAAGTGTTGCTAGAATCCTACTGTCCGGTGAGTGAAATAACTTTTCCACAAATTCATGCAAAACCTTATTGCAGTTAAAGCATATAACCGAAGAATTTTCTATAAGCCATCTTCAACCCACAATTCTAACAGCACTTTTTAAATATTATAGAACACAAGCTTTCTGTGGGGACTTGCTTTATATTTAAAGCAGTATTTGGTGTATTAATCTTTTGCATTTCTGGGATCAAGAATGACAGAGAAATTAAAGGTCAACTGGGATTATAGTGAATAACTGATTGTCTTCAATAAGGGATATAATTATTGAAAATAAATAAGCATACCCGGTTAATAAAATTCCATACAATCACATACAATATTCAGTGTGTTTGCTTTTCAACCCCTGTTTTACATAACTGTTTACATGCCATTTTGACCAATTTCTTGTAAACTGCATGTTCAGGCCAACAATAAATCAAAGTACTCATAGTACTATAAGCCGTACGTGCTCAGTAAAAAAAAAGTAATGATACTAATAAAAATAAGAGCTTTTGAATGAAATTTTTTTTAAAAATCTTACGAAAAAAAAAATCATTATGAAAGTAATTGATACACCAACATTTATTTTTGCGATGATATACCATGGACTGACTTAAGCAGGTCCAGAGTTAACCTGGCACTGCCGAAGGTCAACAAATGATTCAGTCTGGTTTCCTGACCCTTTTTTATTTGTCTTTTTAGAGAACCAGACTATGACTTCATTGACCATCAAAAAACCATATGCATATGAAATTAAGCTGTTTTACAAAAGACTGCGAGTTTTGAAATCATTACTTTTAATGTTTATTTGTATAAAAAAAATCTTCGTTTCATTTTTGTTGTTATATTGAACATTTTGTATTATCTCAAAAAACGATTGGGAGTTAGTATTATATTTTTACATGTAAATGTATTTTGCGTGTTTAGATGGCTGTGCAGTCAACTTCCTGCTTGAACAGGCTGACAATAGCCTTTAACCTTGCCCAGAAAAACAGTGTATGGTATATGTATTTTTATATACATGTACCTTTTTATTAATGAATTTGCTTCTTGTACAACTTTATTTAATAAAGTTGTTACTTAATAACACTTCATCAAGTACTTTGAACTTTGTTTAATCAGAATTTAATGATTACATTAATTTTAGAACTGTGCAGTACAAGTTAAGATCGAGCTGGGACATCGAGCCAATGTGAAGAAAACACCCAGCCCTGAAGGATTCACCCATGATTGGACAGTATACGTCAGAGGTCCAGAAAACTGTAACATCTCCTACTTCATCGAGAAAGTAGTCTTCAACCTGCACCACAGTTTCCACAATCCAAAGAGAGGTACAGAGTTTCTTTAGTTTAGTTTCCAAAGTTTCATTCATTAGCTTTTGATTGAACTGTGTGTGAACTGATGTTTATTTAATGATCTTTATTTGTACTTCCTCTTTGAAATTAAAGAATGCCCTGAAGTAATGCAGAACTTTAATTTGTTCAAAATTTAATTGTTTATATATATATCCTTTGAAAATTACAAGAGTCCATTAATCAATTTGTGTATGAGCTGTCTTCAGTGTATACCTGTACCTACAGAACTTAGTTGTCCAAGACCCATTGATACACTCATGTCAATAATCTTAATCCTTTACTGAATGATTTCAAAATCTGCATGTGCCCCATTACTTCCTCATGTATTCAATGGAACTTAAATTGATTTATGAGAATAAAATGGTGGGCTTGACCTTCTGACCTTGTCGTTTGACTTTAGACGAAAATATGTAGGTGCTTCCCTTAAATATATCCTTTTTAGCTCACCTGAGCCGAAGGCTCAAGTGAGCTTTTCTGATCACATTTTGTCCGTCGTCCGTCCGTCCGTCTGTCCGTCTGTCTGTCCGTCTGTCTGTCCGTCCGTCTGTAAACTTTTCACATTTTTGACTTCTTCTCAAGAACCACTGGGCCAATTTTGACCAAACTTGGTACAAAGCATCCTTGGGTGAAGGGAAATTTAAATTGTTAGAATGAAGGGCCAAGTCTCCTCACAAGGGGAGATAATCAAGAGAAGACAAAAATAGGGTGGGGTCATTAAAAAATCTTCTTCTCAAGAACCACAGGGCCAGTAAAGCTGAAACTTATATGGAAGCATCCTGGGGTAGTGTAGATTCTAAATTGTTCAAATCATGACCCCCGGGGGTAGGGCGGGGCCACAATGTGGAATCAATGTTTTACATAGAAATATATAGGAAAAATCTTTAAAAATCTTCTTCTCAAGAACCACTGGGCCAGAAAAGCTGAAACTTATGTGGAAGCATCCTGGGATAGTGTAGATTCTAAATTGTTCAAATGATGACCCCTGGGGGTAGGGCGGGGCCACAATAGGGAATACAAGTTTTACATTGAAATATATAGGAAAAATCTTTAAAAATCTTCTTCTCAAGAACCACTGGACCAGAAAAGCTGAAACTTATGTGGAAGCATCCTGGGGTAGTGTAGATTCTAAATTGTTTAAATCATGACCTCCGGGGGTAGGGCGGGGCCACAATAGGGAATCCAAGTTTTACATTGAAGTATATATAGGAAAAATCTTTAAAAATCTTCTTCTCAAGAACCACTGGACCAGAAAAGCTGAAACTTATGTGGAAGCATCCTGGGGTAGTGTAGATTCTAAATTGTTTAAATCATGACCCCCGGGGGTAGGGCGGGGCCACAATAGGAAATACAAGTTTTACATTGAAATATATAGGAAAAATCTTTAAAAATCTTCTTCTCAAGAACCACTGGGCCAGAAAAGCTGAAACTTATGTGGAAGCATCCTCAAGTAGTGTACACTCTAAATTGTTCAAATCAAGACCCAGGGGATAGGGCGGGGCCACAATAGGGGGAATCCCAAGTTTTACATTGAAATATATAGGAAAAATCTTTAAAAATCTTCTCAAGAACCACTGGACCAGAAAAACTGGAACTTATGTGGAAGCATCCTGGGGTAGTGTAGATTCTAAATTGTTCAAATCATGGCCCCTGGGGGGAGGGTGGGGCCACAATAGGTATTACAAGGGGGGAGTCTGGTAATGAACAGCATGGCCAAAGTTACTCAGGTGAGCGATGTGGCCCATGGGCCTCTTGTTTGAATTTGTAAATACTAATTCCCAAAGTTGATAATAAAGTACTACAGATATCACAATTATATTGCATAAAAATATTTTCAGATTCTGTAGGCCGCAAGACAGACAGACAGGCATTGTGATTACCAGAGTGCATCTAAATTTTTATGTAGAACAAAATGAAAGCTGGTGCAATTTTTGAAAATCCATTGCAATTGAAATGTTATGGTTCTTTCTTAATCATGATAATGCAGAGATTTAAAATATTCATGATAAGTCTAAAATGGGAAATTTTAAGACTCTAAAACTCTTTAAGATTGTCTGAACAAGTAGATCAATACATGCATCTAATCTATCCTCTCTAAACCTCTATAACAAGGGAAAAAAGAATGCCAATAATCAGATTGCTTATTTTTAACCCACACAAAGTTTGATTAAATTTGGTTTTGTTTCTATAATTGGAATAGTGGCATAGGCCTAAACTTGTAAGAAGTTGAACAATTAACAATTATCATGATTCATGTGAAGGAGCAGATACTGAGAGGAGTAATGCACAGAGGAAAATAAATCAAGCTCAGTGTAGGATATGCCACAACAGCCAATTTCAGTATTTCTTGCAGATTTAGCATTCACATAATCTGTTAGACTATGAGTCAAAACCAGGAGTGCTTATGTGATGCATGTTAATAAAAATTTTGAACAAAACCCAAAGAATGAGTGGAACAAATCAGTAAAACAAACAAATATTGTGAATGACAACCTATATAGATATGATATGTAAATTATTGTTGTTATTTTTTGCGTACTTTAAAAGGTAACTTTTGTTTTACATGTATTTGAAATTTATTGTGAGTTATCAGAAACAGAATTGATGAGCATGCAAACTCTGAAATTTCAGTGCTGACTGAACCACCCTATGCAGTGCAGGAACAGGGTTATGCTGGTTTTGAGCTGCCAATTGACATTTACTTCAAGAACAAGGAAGACCCTAAAAAAATTCGGTTTAAATATGACCTCTTTCTGAAGTTAGAGGACTGTCCACCTGTCAATCATATCCGATGTGAAAAGCTCACTTTTCAAAATCCTACAGATGAATTCAAAAAGAAACTTCTTAAAGCTGGAGGGGTAAGTAGAAAATGTCTAATGAAACCAATTACTTTGTACTATATTTTTTTGTGGCTTTTGTTTATGATTATAATATTTATTTGCATATTACACCCATATAGGTCAAGCAACTACATAAACAATTAAAACGGTTTTATTTTAAGGAATGAATTTAATAGCTACCCAGTTTATACGGTATACAGTGGGTTTGGGGCAGTTTATGCTTTATAAACCGTGAAGCGGTTTATAAAAAAGCGTAAACTGTTCCAACCCACTTTATACTGTATAAATTGGGTAGCTATTAATTTCATTCCTTATAATTTAATTTTTATTCATTTAGTGTAAGAAAAAAGATGATTGCCCTTAAAAAATGACTTCAAATTGTACAAAATTTAAATGTAACATCAGGCAGATCAATACGTTTTTGACGCAAGTCATTGTGACGTAGGCAACCCAATTTATGCGATATAAAGTAAATTTTTATCCAATCAAATACTGTGTTATAACCAGAATTAAACTATAGTACAATGTAAAAAAAAAAATTTTGACTGATATGAACCTCAGTATATACTTTCAGAGGATTGAATCTATTTATTTATATGATCTTCAATATGTTCAGTTAGAAATGCAGTATTATACCTTTACTTTGATACTTCTCAACTGCTACCATATTTTTATGGTGATGGGTGTTTCTCTTCGTCAATATGTTCCTTACATTGGGGGAACTGAATAAAATTTAATAAGACTTTCACAGAATCCATAGTGCCATTGTGCAACTGCTCTTTTATGTTTTGATCACCCTCATATTTGGGGTTTCCCAATGCAAAAAATGCAGACTGCCATTCTTTCTATAATATTTGGGGTACCCATCTCTTATTTGTAGCTTCCCCTTTATCACTGAAAAAAAGTATAATGAGACTTTACCAGAATCATTATTACATAGTGCCATTGTGCACCTCCTATTTTATGTTGATCTGACAGATATTTGGGCTTTTCCATAGCAAACACAGAGTTTGCCATTATATTTGTATGGGAGTATGGGGGGTGTCAATTTATGAGCTCATGCACTGTTCACAGAATCTCTAGTTTTAAACTATGTAATTTTTGCACTACTTCATGGAATTTTAACATATTCACCTGGTTTTTATACCTCCCACAAACAAAGTTTTGTGGGTATGTAGGGATCACCTTGTCCTTCTGTCTGTCTGTGCAAATGTGTCCGGTCCAAATCTTTCTTAAGGAAGAACATTAGAATCTACTACTTCACACAAAGATTGTTCATGACCAGAGGGTGTGTCATGACCTTGACCCAAGGTCATTTGGGCAAGTTCAAGGTCACCGAAAGGTGAATAAACTTGGTGAGTTCCCATTTTACACAGATTGCTTTTGACCTGAGGGTAGTTGACCTTGACCCAAGGTCATTTGTGCAAGTTCAGGGTCACTGACAGAACAAGTTCATAATTCGTGTCTGGTTCGTATCTTTTTAATGGAGAATAATGTTGGGATGTTGGGAATTTCCACTTCACACAAAGATTGCTTATTACCTAAGGGTGTGTCATGATCTTGACCTATAGTCTCGGTATAGAAAAAATGAATAAATAATGCATCCATACTTTCCAATAGAGAAATACTTGAAAAATTGTTGTTGTTTTTTTCAATGTAATAAAAAACAATGTTATTATGAGTATTGATGTTTTATTAGGCTGCATCTTAGTTTCATTCATTAATAAAATATAATGAGCAATTACCGGTAAAATTTCACTCGAAATGTTTAAACAAAAAGTGAACACCTCATAGATCCATCAAATACTAGTATTTATAGTGACTTGCCACCTTCTCTGAAAAACACCGCGAGGGGGTATTTGTCCATTTTGGACAGTTCTAGTTCTAGATTGTCAATTTTTTAAAAAATGATTTTATAGTACTTGAGTACTGTGAGGGGGATGAGAAGAGTGATGTTCTTATCAGGAACTTACTTTGAATTAGACAAACTAAATAGACTCATATTTGATACAAAGATAGCTTGTAACAAGCTTTGTTGTTCTTGTGTTTTTGTTCATTGTCTGTTAAAGGGGCTTGGACACAGATTTTAAGTTAATATTTTCTCAAATTTTCTGTATAATATCACCACTCACACAGAAATATAATAAAAAACTTATTTTATCTTGAAATTATTGAAACTACAAATTTCGGGACACGTTTGATTGACACATCCTTGCACTTTCACACAGTAAACTTTATCCTTAATACTTAAGTAAAAATTTTGTTGTGTATTAATGAACGTCAAATTAGCATGAATGCACACACATGCACATGTGCTTCGCTCTGATTGGCTGAAATAAAAAATCTCACTATCTTGTTTTTTGACATAATACTTTGAAATTTGAAATAAAAGTATATATTATGAGGTTCTACAGTATGTTTCATGTGGAAATTCTGGAAAGCATGCACATTCATGTGTGCTGCAATTTGATTGGCTGAAACCTTAAATGGCTATAACTTCTTTAGTTTTCAACAAAACAGAACAAAATTTAGAATATATGTCATAGTGTGCTATTTTGTGTAAAGATATTTTTTGTAACTATTTAGGATTTGACTTTAAAGTTTAATTGACATTTAGGATTTGACTTGAAAATTAATTAATTATACTCATATGTGTTATGACAAACATTTGACAAGACTCAATCTGTTAAGATAATTATCTGTAATTAATGGCATATGCATGGTCACTTGGTTTCAGCTTAAATAAATATCTGAGTGGTCATCATGAGTGACTCTATGTCTTATTTATAATTATACTTAATTAACCTCTTCATTATAAATATACTGTTAGGAATTTATTCCACAGTCAGAATATTTTGGAACATTCTATGACACACTGCTTATGTCTATTACACTGGCTAAATAAGAGACTGTCCACCAGTCTGCCAGTAGACTAAGTAGTGTGACGGCTAAATTTATTTTATTATTTTAAAAGTTTATTTCACTTTTTATTTTATCTACCGACTAAAATCTCCTAATTCATGCTTCAATTTATTTGTTTTGGCTTTGTTTTTTTTTTATCATTGTTTATCCAGTAATTGAACTAAATTGTACCCTAATAAATTGTAAAAACTGTCTCGCTGTCTTCGAGTTATAGCTCTATGCATATTCGATCTTGGTGTTGTTAAGCCTAAACATAGGCTGACCCCCTGTCTCTTGGTTAGGGCAATGTCAGAGTTAGTTCCCCTTATCTACTGGTGCCCTGTACCTCGGTGACATATATATAGGTATTCTGGGTTCCTACATTATGCTGCTATCAAAACTGAATGTAAGGACATGCATGCATGTGTGCTGAAATCTGATTGGCTAATACTTTATAGGTTGTATCTCTCTTACTATTCAATAAAATTCTTTGAAAAACTTGAAAAATAAGTATATATTGAAAGTCTTTATAAGAATATATATATGAGAAGCCTAGAAAATACATGCAAGTGCGTGTGCTGAAATCTGGTTGGTAAAGTTGCTTATAACTTTCTTAATTGTTAATGAAAGAGGATGAAATTTAGAGTTAGTATAAATAATACAAGTTCCTACATTATTCACTCATCAGAGATGAATACGAGGACATGCATGCACGTGCACTGATTTCTGATTGGTTGATAACTTAATAGTCATGTTGCTGTAACTTTTTACGTTTTCAATGAAATTCTTTGAAATCTAAAATGGGGCTTTTTATTATGGCATTCTATAAGATGATGTACATGTATATAGTTATTTTCGAAATCATGTGCATGCACATGTTCTTAGATCTGATTTGCTATGTTCATTGTGCTATATATGCTTAGCTATTTCCCCAAAATTTTTTGGAAAATATGTTGAAAAAGTTCATAATACAAAGATTTTGCTTAATTTAATGAAGCTGATAGGGAATGGGGTACCAAAGAGAGTAAGGAGAGGGTTTGGGGAATATCTGTAATGGTCTCTGTTACAATTAGAACTAGTTCTGTTTTTAATTATTTTATCCTTCTATGTATCCTTTACAGTTTAGTGTTATACTCAGGTGACTGTTAAGGCCCTTGGGCCTCTTGTTAATATCTTGTCTTGGCCAAAACTTTTGAAGATTACTGGGCACAAAATGTGCTCTTAAGCTGAAGGTTACTAGCTTCAGCCAATTAATAGGAATGAGACCTTAATATAAGAAATATTGAAGGAAAAATAGTAAGTTCTCTCTACAAATATTGTCATGATTATAAGAAACTTTGGAAAGGAATTCCATGAGTGTCAAATTTTCCATAAAAGTCAAAGAACAGAATTACCAAATCAAAAATTTCACATTCAGTATTATGTAATTCTAATTGGAAATTACTACAGACAACAGATTTACAGGAAATACTTGGTGCTATTAAGTCAGTAAAAAAAAAAAAGTATCGAATTCCAAGGAAATGACTTCTCAATATCACCACATGAAGTAGGGTCTTCTGAGTAAAGTCAGTGTCCTCAATTGTAAAAGAACACTCTTCCCATGTACATTTTCTTTCAGTACATTAGTTAGTCATTTATGAATATTGGTTTGCTGTTGAGAAACAAAATTCAAGGTCTGCTGACATTTACATTTTTAATATATACACTGAATAATTATACTTTAACACTCCTCAAAAAGTTCACAACAAAAGTGTTTATGTGCAGGATTTACGTAAATGAGAATGAAATTGACATGAGAATGAATCAATATTTTAATGCACAAGCCAAAAGTTTAAAGATCAACAATACCAGTCAATGATGGTGTTACATAGAGAGGACTAAATCAAGAATCAAGTGTGTGTGTATATATATATGTGTGTTTGTGTGTATTAAAACATTATTTTATTTAGTTGTTTTTTTTTTATTTCAAACTTTGAAATTTTAATACCAATTCAGTGCACTTGGAAAATTTAGGGCAGCTATTACATCTGCTCTTTAGAACTTGATAGTGGTAGTCTTAATGTATGGTTTATATAAAACACTTAACAATAGTTACATGCATGTAAACATCTTCAATTTTTTTTTTCAAATACTATCAATCCCCCCCCCCCCCCCCCCCCCCCCCCCCCGAAGAAAAAATCAGAATTGAATCATAGTCCTGCAAACATATTACATAACAATTCCTTTGACCAACACTTTCTAGGTGTATCTGTGGTAATATAAGTCGTTACTGACTCTGCTCACTTTCTGTGACCCAGAGGTCAATTTTTTTGCTCATTTCCTATCCTAACATGTCGACTCTTGACATATCTTTTTTGGTATGTGATTTCACAGCAGTGCCTGTAAAATTTGTGCTGATTGATAGATAGTGAATACTCATTCATAGAGGACAAATTATATATATTATATCACACATGTTGTGCTCATTTTCACTGAAAATATGGAATTTTCATTTGTGACAGGGGAACAGTTTTACATACTGCTTTTCTCAGAAAATATATAGGACATGTTTTGACATGTTTTTCACATGTTAATTAATGTGTTTTTGTTTTTATTTGAGAACATGATATTGTTCAGGAAACACATTCAGTTATTTTGTGTAGTAACAATTAAAACCTGTGATTAAGTAATGTCAGATACATGTATTTCAATAGCCAGAAGTAATAGTCTGTAATTTATCACCACTATTCAAAACCTAGAGAATTAATACTGAAAAGGGTTACATATTCACTATATATAATAAAAAATATTTTAAAAATCCTTGAATGTTTTCAAAATGTTGAACTTCAATTTAAGGTTTTATCTCTAATTTTTCTTATTCATGAATTAAACAATAGAAATGATAAACTATAGTAAATTCCAAACAAATAACAAACTAATCATAATATTTTCTCTGAATTGTTTCTTTCTCTCTCTCCCCCCCCCCCCCTCCATCTCTCGTGTGTGTTTTCAGTATAAGCACATAAATAACAGAGATTCACAGCTGCACCATTAACAGGTATATTTACAAAAAGACGTGTGATGGTCCCAGCATTATTTTAAAAATTACTCTCTATTTGTTGTGTATTTCAATCTAAAGTTTATTAATAAATGAAATTAAAGACCATTCACTTACTTCAGAATTCTCCATTGTTATTGTATTAAAAAGGAGACTTAAGAAAATACACCATTCTGAATAATTTGTTCATTTGAATAAAAAGGATGTACTTCATTATCCTTGATAATTGTTAAAAACTTATTTGAATTAAACAGTGAAAGATTTGAAAAAAAGTAAACAATGGGGCCCAGGAGAAATCAGGAGATTTCAAACAGGTGCGAATCTCTGTTATTTATGTCTCTGGTATAATTAATATGTCTCTGGTATAATTAATAATTATTATTTATATACATGTAGGTTTATTAAGTATACAAGTACAAAGTACAATATTAAATCAGATTAAATAATAAATTTCGAGATTTTGTACATAAACATGTCGAGTCATTATACTTTAAAATGTAAGCTGTTGTTAAATATCTACATACATGTTTTGTAAGGTTTCAAGCTCATGTTTCAGAACCAATACAGTTATAACATATGGCTTTAAAATTATTTATCAATAAATTGATATCTGTCCATACTTGATATCATTGAAGTGTGTAGGAAATCTTTATAAATAATTCAAAAGAATGTTTAAATTTGTGTCAATATAATGTATAGTAGCTGTAGGGCAAGAGACTTCCTTGTTCAGCTTTTGTGAAATGTACTGACCAGGGAGTTATGTCATAGTATGTTCTGTCTATCAGGTAGGCATGGTGTGTTTTTATCAGCTGGTAGACTATCTTCACCAACATTGGATGTGTAATTATCACCCGATTAGTAGTTACCAAGCACCAAGTAGTTCATTCCTGACACTGGGAGGTTGAATACAAAACAAATATAGTGTTTAGGTATTAGTATTTATCCATATACCAAACATATATATATAAGATGTATATGTTGAATGTTAGTGACATTTTATTTCTCATGCTGTAATCATGTTGAATACATTTTATTTAACAATTAAAACTTCAAATTAATTTTAAATTTTCAGGTGCTTGTTGGACCAACTGGTGAGCCAATGGGACAAATGGGAGATTTTGGTGAAATTTTTGATGCCCCCATAAGCCTGGATGGCAGCAAGAAGCCCAAGTCAAGTAATTCTAGCAAGGTGAGACATCATTAGAAATTAGAAAAATCAATTTTAACTTTAATTCTTAATGAAACAAACAGAGGCATGGAAAAATTGATTCACAAAAGCCACTTATGTATACAGTTCTAGCATTTTTACAGAAGTATACCTTGTGGAGTAAACAGTTTCATTGATTACCATACTAAAAGTTTTATGCCTATGTTAATTATATACACAATTTGAAGTTTTATGAAAGGCTTACCGTACCTTTATTTACGTGAATCATATATATATTTATTTCTCAATAGAATAGCTATATTAAATATGCAAACTCAGTGTATATTTGCTGTTTCATTGTACAGTATTTCTGTCTTTTACAGGAGAAAACTAGTAAAGAAAAATCAAGTTCCAGCATTAAATCATCATTCAAGTGTAGTGCAATACCTGGGACATCATCAGCAATTTCCAAAGATGTATTAGGCATTGAAGACCGAAAGGACAAAAAATCACCCAAGGAGTCTAGCCAGCAGAAACGTTCCCATGAATCCTCCAGTCTTGAAGGAGTAATCCTGCAAAAACGTTCAAATGAACCTTCAAGTTATGAGGGGATAAGCCAGCAGAAACGTTCATATGAATCTTCAAGTCAAGAAGGGGCAAGTCAGCAAAAGCGTTCATATGAAGCCTCAAGCCAAGATGGTGCTGTGATGAAAAAACCCAAACGGCTGTCATCTGTTTCTTCACCTTCAGAGGTCAAGGTCAAAGAAAAACATAGGTCAAGTGAGAAAAGAAAGCATTCAAAAGAAAGAGATGGAAGTAAGAGTTCAAAAGATTCACACAAAGATCATCATCGACGAGAGGTAGATTCTCAGGAGAAAGATCCAAGAGAGCGTGATAAAGAGAAATTGAAACGAGAACATAAGGATAGAGATGGAAAGAAAGATTTGTTTAAGCACAGAAGTTCTAGTTCAGTGACAGATTCACCAAATCCACAAGCTCACAAGTCTAATAGCTCTGAGAAAAAAGATAAACATTCATCAAAAACATCGTCAGACAGTTCAAGAAAGGAAATTAAACAAGATGATCGAAAGACTGAGAAGAAATCTGATTCAAGTAAAAGTAAAAGGTCAGAGAACAGTCATGTTAGAAAAGACAACAAGGATGACAAATCTTTATCTACAAGTAAAAGTGGTTCTCTGAAAGTGGACAAAAAGGTCAAGCAAAGTTCCAAATCCTCTAGTAAAGTCCCAGACACTATAAAGAGACCGGGTATGTCTACTCCAGAGACAGCCCCTCCAAGGAAGAAATCAAAGGTCGAGGAACTGTTCTCATCATCGGAGGATGAATCATCTGAGGATGAAGATGAAGATGTTGTGAAGGCTATTATTGAGAATGTTGAAAGAAACATCGACAAAAGTGAGTCAAGTTCAAGTTCTGATTCAGATTTGGAAGACGAAGTGGTGAATGTATGGTCATCACCAGCCACCTTAAAACTATCTCCATTATCACAGAAAGGTGTTACAAAATCACCATCATCTGTCAAAAATTCCAGTTTTCATAAAACATCAAGGGCTATATCTCCTGCTTCAGAAAAAAGTTGGTCTTCAAAATATTCACCGACAGGTTCCACACATTCACATACATCAACTTCTCATAAGCGTGTTTCATCCAAGCATTCATCTAAAGAAAAAGACATATCCAAGCATTCCAAAGAGTCCAAATCTCAGAAATCCACACCCAAATCTTCCCATTCATCATCAGAAAAGAAAGACAAAGAATCTTCTAGAAGATCTGAGAAACATGCATCCAAAAAATCATCAACACCTTCATTTACTCCAAACACAGCTCTCACAGAGAAAGCTGAAAAACATTCGAGATCACATTCAAAGGAAAGGGCAAGACCGACAAAGAATGCTGATGATAAGAAAACAAAGGATGTGAAGTTATTAACTGACATAAAAAGTGAAAAGATTGACTATATTCCTAAGTCCCTTGAAAAAACAGAATTGAAAGAAAATGTTTGCAAATCAGAGAATTCCAAAGAAAATTTCACAAGTGTAAAACCTGAAAAGTGTAGAACTTTCAGCATTGAGTCAAATGAACCAAACTATCTTAAAAAAGAATATCTATCTGAAGATGATGACATTGATAAACAGGATAATGTGACTGAAACCTATAACTTTGAAAATGGTTATGGACATTTGGGAACAGCCCCAAATGGAGAGGATCTGATAGAACTTTTGAAATTACATGAGAAGTTGGAGTCGATGCAAGACACTTCAGTGATTCAGAGAGTGGTGCAAGAAATTGAAAAGACTGGCTTATACAAAATCAGTGAAAAAACTTTTGATTTTGACCTGTGTGAACTTGACAGTACTACAGTAAAGAAGATTCATAATTTTCTGTGCTCTGTGTAGATATGGTCAAGAAAGAATTTTATTCAGAATTGCTCATAGACTAAGAATGATTCTTTAGAAAGGTAAGGATATGGGTGTAGAGAAGTTTAAATCCATTTTATCAATGATCTCGAGGCTGAATGAATTATTTATTTAATGATGGGATGACAGTGTGAGTTATACTTTTAGGCCTGAACAAAAATAGTTTTTGGTCATTCACGTCATTGTTAACAGTTATTCTGTTTTGTCTCTAAGAGTTGTGAATTCAGTATTATCATTTTTTTTCAGTGATGTTCAGGGTTCGACACTAACTTTTTTACGCTTTAGTCCGGCCGGACTAGTGCTTCCTTACTTTTACTAGTCCGCACGCGATTTTATGAGTCCGTCAAAAAAAGGAAACAATGTTTTGTAACATTAATTTAAAAATAAACATTTCAATATAAGTTTTTTAAATACTTTTATTAAATAAACAAAGCATTTACGTGAAAGGGTTTATTCCCCAGCATGGATTCGTTGAAATCTCGTGATCAACGAGTACGATCGCATTCCCGATGTCGTTCTTTTTCTCTTGCATTACATCCAAAAAAAAAAAAAACGGTCCTTCGAATGAGACCGTATAAACTGGGGTCCCGTATCGCAGTAGGTGCTGGCACGAAAAAGATCCCTCACTGCTCAATGGCCGTAAGTGCCGAGTATAGGACAAAATTTGCAGCTCTCCACTGGCAAGTGGTGGCGTCTCCATATGAGTGAAAAATTCTCGAGAGGGGCGATTAAACAAAAAACAAACATCCAAAATGTCTGACATCTTTCTTTTCTGTGTCATATAAATTATGATCGCTAAAACGTTTTACTTCATATCAATCAGTCGAAAAATTAAGCGCTGACTCGAAATTGTCTAACTACCCGCCAAGAAGCTAGAAAGCTAAAAATAAATGCGGGGTTTTCCAGTAAAAGTTGTGGAGAATCGGACATTGGTAAATTATTCATATTGTTTTCCAGGAATTTTTATTGGTCCGTTTGGACTAATTAGCCACAGATTTTATTAGTCCAAATAAAAATGTATTAGTCTGAGACTAACGGACTAACGTTAGTGTCGAACCCTGGATGTTTCAAAAGTCACTTTGTTTAAAATTGAATGACCTGGGCAAAGTTTTTGGGACAGGGTCACTCCGTAATTAACTACAGGTTATAAGGTCTACATGAACCAGACTTGCAAGGAGATGCATGTATGGATGCATTTTATCAAACAAATGCCAGCTTCATCTGACCCATACTTGCCAGATGATCATGAGTAACCAAGACCCTTAAGAATAGGTTCATTCATAAGTAACTTTAAGCCCCTTTGGACTAAACTTGCATGGGGATATAGTAAGAGCCTTACTAAACACCTGTGTGTGTTTTTTTAAAGTGTTTATATTAAGCGGCTTTCTTTTTAGTAAAAAAGGATGATAAAAACAAATACAATTGAAATTTTAAATGCATCTTCTTTTTTTAACATTAACAGCAGAGAAATTCTAAAACATTTTAATATATCTCCATATGTTCTTCGTGTAATGTAATGCATCACTATTGTGTCTATTTCTTATTATGTTGTTTGTACATTAAACTATTTTCATCAATCCTATTTATTTGAAGAAACTTTTAATGTTTCCATATGCAATGGAAAATACATTTATTTTCATTTCTTGTAGTTCAATCTGCATAAATTGAATTATGCATACACTTCGTAGATGTAGGTAGTTAATTCTATTAACACCAAGCAAGAATTTTTTTTTTCACTTGTAAGAAAGACAAATGATTTATGTCTTTAAACATGTTAAACAAATATATACATGTGCGACAGATGATAATGAATAAGAATGTGCCATCTTTTAGTAGCAATGTAACTCGACACAGTATTATGTACAGTGCAGAATTTTCATATATTATTCATTTAACAGTCATGTTCTCATTTCAAATGCACACATTTGTAGTTTGTAATGCTAAAAAGTATTTATGATTTTATAAGATCTGTTTTTTAATCAGCTTAACTTTTCAGGTGATGTTGTAAGTCTGAATCTAAATTTCTGCAGTTCATTTTCCTCTCGGTTTACCTTGATTTTTCTCCTCATAACACCGTATTCAGTGTTATTGTCGGTGCAGTTTTATTTTCACTTTTTTCATAAAAGGACAAAATGGTAAAAGCAACACTTAAGTGAAGTAACTTGAACCATAGCTTAATGTTTAAATTAATTCTAAATGGAGTCAAATTTGTTACTACAGTAAAAGTTGTCTAATCTGGACACCACTGGTTCCATAGAAATACTCCTCTGCTGGATTAGACAGCATTTTAAGCAATTGATTTTTCTGAAATGGACCTAAAAAGGCACGATTCCAGTATGCATAATGTCCAGCTTAGACAAGTTTTATTATACAGGAAAAGGTGTTGATAGCTCTGAGAGAAATTGAAGCTGTTTGTAGTGTTATTATAGACAGTTTTTGTGAAGAAAAAGGTTAGTTTGCCTTTTTTATTCTGCAAATCCCCACCATTTACTGTGCAATTTATTGTATGTACATATGTATTTATTTGCCTATGCAAACAGTCTAGTCTTAGTTTTAATCAGATGTGTTCATTTATCATGTTTATTTCCCTAAATAATTTATATAGATTCAATTTTTTTTTTTTGCAAGTGCTAAAAAGTTCTCTTTTTTTTCAGAAATTCTTATTGCCATGATTGTTAAATATACAAATTGCCATGTTTCTTGATTTTACTTATTAGTGGATGTATAATTTACATGAATATAAATTCCTTTTCCAGTTACAGCTAAGTGTTGATTATTGCTATGCTTATATATATGTGCATGTATGTAAGGATCAGAAAATGGTTACCAGTAGTTTCTCCTCTTCTTCAGCAGGAAATTCTCTTTCATACATCAATCTCTTTGTATTTAACTATTTTGTACAAAAATGGCAATTTTTTTCTTCATTCAAACAATTTCCCCCTAAAGAGATGATCATTATTGTGGATTTGTATGTTAATGTTTTATGCTGTTAAAATTGTATACAGTATGTTTAAAGAATTTTAGGGGAAAAAAATGGCTGACACTTAATTAAAATGCAGGTAATATGAAATGGATATAGCAGTTTGGTTGTATATAATGTTTTTGAATAAATAATGATTAATCTTTGTCTGCTTAATGTATTATTAGTTAAAAGTGCTTATGTTTGTGAAGTAGATCTCTGTACATTTTGATTGTTGTGTTTTGATTAGCTCAATAATTTTATTGGTTTTAGTTTCTTTTTGTTTGATTTCATTATAAAAGTCATAAGATACTATCTTGTAAGGTTTCAAAAACATTTTCATTAATTTGACATTAATATTTGAAATGCTGTTTTTATTTTCAATATTCATGGTGTGTAAATATATTTTCTTGAAATTAGCAAGTTTTTGTGTGTTTTGGTATCCAAATCAAAACAATGCACTATTCGTTACTTTTTTTTTTCTTTATTCTGCACATATCATATTTAATTTCTTTACCCACCATCATGATAAAACAATTAGTAGAATTTAATTAGTTTGTGTAATGACTTTATTATAAATACATGTTTTGCATGACACAGTGTTATATTAGCATTGTCAGAAGCTTACAATTTACAGATCAAAGTATTTTTTTCAAAATAATAATTGTTATTTTTATTAATATATTGAAGCAGTTTTCACAAGCCTGCTTTGGATATAAAACTTGAAATTATTCTCATATATACATGGCTTTTGTTAAGGAGTATGGTGCTTATGTATATGACTTAATTATGAATCGAAACGATAATCTGTTTAAAGCAGACAGTAAATACCAGCCTGACATTTTATAGAAGGTTGTAAATGGAAAGAACTGATTGTATGCTCCTAATGATTTCTGTATAAATGTGTAGTTTTGTTATATCATTTGGTAGCTATTTCTCTTTTTGTTTTTCTGTCATCACAGTTGGTGCTTTATCATGTTATATCACATTGGTTGAAAATAAAATCAAGTCTTAAAATGAAAATCAAAGTGTTTCTTTAAGTTGCATGTCTGTAATATCATGAAATTTATGTACTGAAACTTCAAACTGCTTGCATTGACTGACTGTGAGTGGGTCAATGCTGTGGAATTGGCCTATGCCTGCATTGACTGACTGTAGAGTCAGCGCAGAGTCAGTCATGAGTGCATTGAGAGACTTTATAATTCATTATTTGAAGCCTGCATTCACACTTTGTAGTCTTTGAAATCCTTGCATTGAGGAACTATAAAATGTTGCTTACCTGCATTCGCATACAGTTGTGCAAATTATTATGTAGCATTGCAACGATTGAAAATGGAAAAATATTTTAAGTAAAATCCTCAGTAACTGCATGGAATTTCAATATTATCCTTTTACAAATTAAGCTACATTCTGCTCAGATTTGAAAAGTGAAATCATTTCAATTTTGCGCTCATGACATTTTTTTTTTTTTTGTAAGTTAAAGAATGAGCCATTAATAATCCAAACCTGAAAAGACGATATATGAATAAAAAAGTAGATTGGGCAAATAAAGATATAGATTATACTCCGTTCAAGACACTGTGGAGTGAAAAAGAAATTAAGCTTAATACTGCTCTCATGTAAATTTTGAATTTACTGGTGGCAGTAAATGCAAAATTTACAACTTGTATTTAATGCCATGCTGTGAATTCAAAATCTACAATATAAAGCAAATCAGGCTCGTAGGAAGCAATTTGAGTTGTTTTTTTTTGGGGGGGGGGGCACAGCCATACATTTTCAGTTGAGGGGGGACTATCAACTACCAAAAATTCCTTGACAAGAAAAAAAAGGGGGGCACCAGACGTTTTTATTGAGGGGGCACAAACATATAGTATCTATGTTTTCTATAGTACTCTATATATCGCCAAAATTATTGGGGGGGGGGCACGGTCCCCCGTGCCCCCCTCCCCCGGTTCCTACGGCAATGCAAATGGAGGTATACTTGTAAGGGTCATAGTTCCTGTGTTTATAAATCAAGAGAGCTAGGTGGCAATGGCCATATTTAGATTATTTAAACCTCCACGAAAAGAAAATCTCGCTATAAAAAGTATAGGAGATTGGATTATATTTTGTAGCAAAATAAGTAAAATCGTAAATTTTTCTTTGCTAGATAAACATGTAGTATATGATTAGAAAAAGCATAATTCATATTTAAGGTGGATCTGTTGGGTAATTTTGTTGACCACCCAGTCTGAAAGTTTCATCATATTCACTATTGGTCTTTGCTATAACAGGAACCACTTGTGTGTCCCTGTACGTTTTTAAATTGCGTCTAATTCACAATTTCACACTTGGCCTTTTCTACAACAGGAACCCTGCGTGTGTCCCTGTACGTTTTTAATTTGCGTCATCGTTGATCCTGCATCAAACAATGAATGCGTAATTTAGGAGTGTTATTTACACATACGTCACAAAATAAAATCCATTTTTAATGAAGAAAATTCAAGCCAAACAAGGACAAATGGCGCTTGTCGATTTATCTTCAAGTTGTGCTACCTGAGCATTTTTTTTAATTTGCGAATGTAGCGTTGTATCGACACAAGTATGACAGTTGCAAGTATCACGTGTATGGCTTGACCTGTTAATTCTAATGCCTAAATACTTTCATTTGTGGGAGCAATAGAACTTTACAATTTAATTTTTTTCGCCCAGCAAAATACACTAAAACTGATATCACCTAGTGAATTCCAAAATTATATATATATATATATATATATATATATATATATATATATATATATATATATATATATATATATATATATATATATATATATATATATATATATATAAAATAAATTTAATGAATTGAGTACACAGTTAATAGTTAAATCAATATATTTCATATTTCACCGGTGCATTTAAAAATGTTTTCAAATCTGATAAGTTTATGCAATTGGCTGTGAATGAGTTTGCATTGTCCTGCATTTCCAGGGTCCAAATGCTTGTATTTGGTTTACAGGAGTGGGATACTGCACCCAGTCTAACATTTTCTTAACAGAAACAATGTATACATCGGGTAAAGTCTGCAAATAATTCAAAAAGCTTTCGAAGCCCAATAAGTTTCTGGTTTCATGGAACCATCGACCGTGAAAGTGGAGCCCAAATGGTGCTCTGTTTCCCTCGTACGAGTTCTTGAAGTTGTTGGTAAGGTATCTCCTTACGTGTGCTTGTGTTGGTGGAGGTCTCTGACAGTCATCTGCATACGTACATATTCCTGTGTTTGTGTAATCCCACATAGAATTGACTGGAACCTCCCAAAAACCCCTGTGGGGCTGCTGAAGACATGGAGCTATGTTGCATGGTAAAGGCCATCCAAAGTCGGCAGTGAATGGCCACACATTTTTAGCATAAGATGGCCTTCTGGTGTACGTGTAGGATATATCATAAATGTACCCGAGGTTCTGTAAAATATCAGCTTGGTCGTCACCAGCTGTAGCCAAATAAGGACTTCTGAAGCCTCTGATATCCGATAGAGGAATATCTGCAAAAGTTGCCAGATTTTCTTTCGAACGTCTTGCATCTCTAAAAACAGCTTCTCTGGTGATAATATTATTATGATTTACACTGTGCGACCCTATCTCCATTCCCCTGGAGTGAAAATAGCTAACTAGAGTGTTGTTAGTTCCTTTATTCGGAACAAAGAACGTTGCTGATATAGGGCACCCATTTGGGTTTGTTCTATTCAACAGGAGTCTTTCAAAAAACCCCGAAACAGAATTGTCTAATGCATCGTCTATTGCTAGATAAACTATTTGAGGAATGTTGGATTTATTCATTGGATGGTCAAAAGTTTTACAGAAACACGATGGTAGTTTACAATTTCGACCCTGCACACACTTTTCCATATTCATTTTCGGTACAATTGTCGGAAGAGCTGGCAGCGCTGGTGTTGGGGACGGTAACGGACCGCATTTCCAAGGTCCAAATCTGAAAATTTGTGATAAGGGAACCGGTTGCTCCATCCAATCTAACATTTTAGAAATAGGAATAATGTACACATCTGGTCTATGTAAAATTTCTTGAATGACTCTATCCAGAGCACGATAAAAAGGAACGTGGCGCAAAAAATTTCCAATCAAATGGAAACCAAGTGGTGCACGATTACCATCGAAAGAATTTTTAAAATTCATCATTATAAACTCTCGCGCATCTTCTTCAGTATCTGGACGGTTATGGCATCCATCTGCCGTTGGACAAGGGAATGCCTTCTTATAGTCCCACAGAGCATTGATCGGCACTTCCCAGAAACTGCTATGAGAGCCTGACCAGCAAGGAGGTATATTGCAGGGGAAAGGCCAAGGAAAATCTGCGGTTAAAGGGAAAGTATTCTTACCGTTTGCTGCATCCTTTCTGATGAAAGTTTTTGATGTATCGTACCTGTATCCAAGCTTCTTTAGAACCCTTATCTGTTCGTCTCCAGCAGTTTTCAGATACGGACTCCTCCATCCCTGAATATCGTTTGCAGACATAACAACATTATCCAATACTGTTTGACGCTCGGTCTTGATTTCCAGCTCCAGTATTGTTGAGTTTGTTATGGCCGACGGTGTGTCTGCATGAGTTGCTATCTCGAAACCACGATTGTAAAAATCTTGTAAGAGGTCAAAATCTGTACCTTTGATAGTGGTCATGAGAGTTGCTGCAATTGGACATCCGTTTGGATTCTTTCTGCTTGGATGGAACAATCTGTTGTAGAACTCGGCTACCTCGCTATTTACACCATCATCAATAGCAAAGTAGACGATCTGAGGTATATTTCTTCTGCCCAGCGGATGTTCAAACGTTCCACAGAAACAAGACGGTAATGAGCAATTCTGTCCTTGAACACATTCCAATACAACACGGTCAATTTGGTTCCAGATCACTAGAACTATCAATAAAGGACACCAATTCATGTTCTTTTTCAAACTGATTCTACTGTTCTGCAGTCTTATGTATGTCTTTTATCAATGAAATACAAATGAATATAATTTTGCATTAATGATGTATAAGTGTTTTGTGTGAAATTATGTAAATAAACTTACGCCATATATAGGTAGTCAGAAGGGCGAGACGAGAAAGATGTCTTTGTCAACACAAATGAAATATCACCTATATTGACGACTTTACCTGTTGATTAAGTCCTTACCTTAATTATTCTGTGATATAGGGACTACAAAGTGCATTAGTTAAGATTTAATGCATTGTCTGTTATATAAATTGAATTAATAAGTAGTAGTTTTTGTTTGTGTATGTTGATTACTTTTTTATGTACAAATACACTTGTGTTGGATTCACAGAATGCAACACAACATGTTTAATAACGGAAATATTTTGTATTGCATTATGTACGTAAATAAAGGACTTACTTCTGTATTGTGTATTTTATTTATAAATATTTTTTCGTGTAAATTGGTGGAGTACAATAAAACGCCATTAAAAATCCTTAGAAGACCGAGTTCCTTATAAGCAAGGTTCCTTACAACATCAAATATATCTCTGAGTCTCTCAATTTAGAAAAAATGTGATGTCATTGCAAAGAATGAAATACATTGATACATTTGTACTTTGTGTTATCAACAATATTGAAGTGTGTAAAGAATGTCAAGATAACATTCAAAGGATAAAATGGCCTTGTCGATTCAACAGGTTTCGATAAGACTATATAATGATTACGCAATGGGAAATAACTTTCTCATAACCATGATTTAAAAAAATTGTGTGTTAACATTTGAGCATGTTCAGCTTCTTCTCTGAAACCGTTGAACCAATTACAGCCAATTTTGACATACATGTAAAGCATCTCTGGGTATGGGGAGGGGGAGGCAAAATCTTTTAATTTTATGATCCCCGCCACCTGGGATCTGAAAGGTGGGGCTTAAAACATCAAAATTGATGCAATCTTTAAAAAAATCTTCTACTTCTGGACACCAAATAGTCTACTTTTGGCACGATTGTAATAAGCATTAAGTTCTTTGTCAAAAATGTGAAATTCAAGGCTCCTGGCTAAGGATTTCTGGAGTTAGGATGGGGTTCTATTTATCATACGGTGAAAATGCATAGATTCTTTCAGAAGCTTTTTTTCTCTCCTTTTGTATATTTAGTAAAGAAAGAAGGTGCATGGTTATGTTGAGCAAGGATGCCTCTTCCGAAATTGTGAAATTTATCACGGCCCCAGGGTCAGGGATTCTAGTCAGGGGGCGGTGGTGCTGCATTGACAATTTAATGAAAATGCATTTTTTTTTGAAAGTCTTCACTGCTCCAATATATTTAGCAGATAAACTACATGTAAGTGCATGGTTATGATAAGCAAGGATGCTTCTTCCAAAATTTGTGAAAATCATGACCCCTGGGTCAGGAGTTCTTGTGTTAGAGCGGGACTCTATTGATTAAATAGTGAAAATGCCTAAATTCTTTGAAAATCTTCTTCTCTGCTCCTTGATTTTAAGCAAACAAAGTAACTACATGATTATGATGGGCAAGGATGCCTCTTCCAAAATTGTAGAATTCATGGCTCCTGGGTCAGGGTTCTGGTGTTAGAACGGGGCTCTAATGATTATACATATTAAATTCTTTGAAAAATTTCTTCTCTGCTCCTGGGGATCTAGGAAGCAAACAGTACAAAGTTCTAATAAGCGAAGTGTTCTGATGCTGTGCATAGCTCTATTGATATTAATTAAATGAAATTAAGGGGGGGGGGATTTATACTCTACTAAAAGAAGGGAAATAATGTAATTGATAGGATATAGAGTTAATCAAAAACAATATATGTATGAAATATGAGGAGATAACGAACAGTATTCGAGCTCAAAAGTCCATTAAACATTACAAAATAGGAGCAGAGCAAACACGGACCTCTACGACATTAGAGGTGGGATCAGGTGCCATGGAGGAGTGAGCATCCCCTGCCGACCGGTCACACCCGCCGTGTGCTCCTTGTCATGATCGGGAAATAACGGAAAAATCCGTCGACAATTCAGTGTGTAAATAATGGCCTAACAAATAGTATGAAAAAAGTCAGTCAGCATTTGACTTAATGATAGATGTATTTGCTGACAAGGTCATTGTATCGACCATAGAACTTACGAAATGATGGCTTTAAACGGGACTGCTGATATTCTTGTTTCATCAACTTGTTTGTCAATAATTTATCTCGTTTTAGAATACAAAAAGTATTTTCATAGATTTTAATGGCCAGGTAGACTTTTAAATGATGAATACATGTACATAAAAATAAAACAAAAATACATTATCTTCACACATAATATACTCTTCAAAGACCCAGAGAGGCCAATGTGTGATGAATGTGTAGGATTTACTACATGTGTTCTGAGTCTAGTGTCTTTGGCTCGGGAATCCACTTGGCATTTGCATTCACCGATAGTACTACAAAGGAATGCAGACACAATTCGCCTTATATAATGGGTTAGAGAAAACTAGTATTCTAGTTTATTTAACAGTTGTTTATAAATGTTAGCACAGAAATTGAAATTGTGTCTTTTCCGTGCAGAAAGCAGAAAATATAGTTCCTATCAAGCATGTTTGTCAAAAAAAGAAATTTTAATACTTTAAACTGCCAAAAACAAATAAAGAATTACTGATTGAAGAAGTTTGATTGAATTCTAGTGAAAGATTAAGGTGTATTTCCATTGATATTATATAGTGTTGAAAACTGATCGAAAACGTAACATAATTTTTCTGTTTACCATGTTTCCACGTGCTGTACCCTCCTATCTACACTTCCGTGAATAATTTACCTGATCTATTTACAGTCTGGTTGTATTCTTATTAAATCTTGCCAAAGCTACTACGAACTCCTAAATTTAATTGAAAAATAGAATGTTCACAATAATAGGAGCGAATTGACTATTAGACTTGTTTGATAAAGTCATCAACCCAATTTTACTTTATGAAATCTTTACTCTGCGAAGTCTTTGGGCTTTGAAAAATGAAAAAAACCCACAATTTTTTAAAGGATGAAAAGATGACTGCACTTAAGAGCCCTCAATACACTGCACACTAGAGAGTTCTGATTTTGTGGTATTTTATGCAGATAGAGTGATCTGCCCTTTGTTCAAGAATAAAATAAATTAAAATGTACAGTTTATTACTGAATTTGTGATCAAATCAAGCATTCATAACACTTTAATAGGTCAAGATGAATAGATAGAACACTTCATTTGCAGGTATTTAGGCTGTTTAAGTAAACAACAGTGATTTATGTTCATCAGTACTTCATCGTCTTTGAACATTTTTCCTGGGGGGTAAATGCAAGGCACCCTATGTTGAAAATGTGATAGATAAGCTCAATACTTGCACCTTTGCACACTATAATGTTCTCAATGACCAATTTTCCTCTAGTGTATAGAGGGTCCTTAAGAACATCATCTCCGTGTGATAATGAGGACGCCCACTTTTTTCCCGATTTTATACAGAGAACACATGTAAAGCTTTGTTCTATAAAATTACGATGACGGCATCTTTCGCTGCTGAAATTGGCGTCGCAATCATCATCAATTACGAAGACGAAGTAAAATTATTTGTTTGTTTGTTGTTTAACTTCCTTCTCTAGATTTTTTTAACTCATATGGTTCTTGGCACAAAATAATGTTACATTGTTACAGTATTTTATTGTGTAACGAGGCAATTGTGATTGTTTATCTTTAATTTATTTTTATTTCACTAAATAACACAGTTCAAAAATAATATTTCGCAGGACTTGGATATACCCTTGACTGGAAATTTAACAATTTACAAATGGTTTTTGTGGTTTCTTGCCTATTGCAGACGTCTTTGTATACGTCCTTTTGAAAACTTTTTTCATTTTCTGTTTTTCTTCAATTTACTCTTCAAGAGGGATCAGTCCCACTGCTGAATTACAAATCTTTCAAACCGTAAATGCAAAAGAATTTCCCTTTCAATATATAGGTATCACACCGGTAATTGTTTTCACTATGTAATTCTATATAGAATAAAAAATCATTAAAAATCAGGTATTCGAATTCATGAAAAAATATTTAGCAGGAAGTGTTAAACGTTACCAGTCACATCAGCTGACACCAAAAAATAGGGTACCTACACGGCATTTTTTGATTTTTTCCATCCGCAAACAGGAATACCCTCAAAACCACGTGTATTCAATGTGTTTATAAACATCCTGTGTGCACCCCAGGAAGTGGCCTCCTATGCCCCGAAAGAAATAGTTCCTGTCAAAAACCTTTAATATTTTACAAAGTACATAAAATATCCTAAGCACAGATACCAAAAATGTAAAAATAGAATAAGGGAAAATATAAAATTTCTCACAATAAAAAAAATATTTCTTTATTATGTATGGAACTACAATACTTCATTATCCTACCTTTTTGCATGGTTTCCATTCGCAGTTGTGTCCCTTTTCTGCGCTACTTTTCGGCAAAACCAAGAGGACTATGGTAAGTAAGCAAAGTACTCAGAAAAAAAAACTCGCCTCGAAGAAGTCATTTTAAAAATTTCAACCAAAGAGTCTCAAAGATAGCTAGATTAATTCAATTTGTATACACTTATGGTAGAATCACATACATGTAGTTGTTATATCGTACCATTTATTGATAAACTCCCCTTTAAAACATCGAAAACTTAAAATAATAATTTTAAAGGGCATGTACCCTTGACATAAAATATCAAATAAATCTAAAGGTTGTTTTATTATACATAAATTAGATAATGTTAACTATTAAAATTAGAAGAATATGTCCTTAATTTATGCGAAAAACCATGTGAGCTTAAAAAGAACGCGGATCAAGTTCAAGTTCAATTTATTCACCCAAACAAAAATATTGGTACATGGGGTTCATTAATAACATATATACATCATATACAATCTGGTCAGAGGTACATATACAAAACAAAAAAACATGCCAGATGATTGAAAAAGAAAATAGATAAATAAGAGAGGGGAAAATATATCA